TGTGTGTGTGTGTGTGTGTGTGTGAGAGAGAGAGAGAGAGAGAGAGAGAGAGAGAGCGCCAGCCTCTGGCGTGGGTCTCAGGCTACATGGTCAGTATGAAATACTGGGTCCTGGGCAGGACACCCCCCAGGTGTTTAGCATCTATGTTATCTTGGGTGGGTTTCTTAGCCTGTCTGGGCTTATTTCTCCTCCTGTGTAAAATAGTGATAGACTTATCTCTTTCGTAAGTACTATGAGTGAATGTAAGTACTTAGAACAGTCCCCAGAAAATAAGTGCTGACATAGTAACAGTGACCATGTGCGAGCTTAACCTTGTGTAAAACACCCTGAGGCCTTTGGGATGCAGGGAATTGGTTTCCTAAGAGCCCTCGTCTCCCTTTCTTTCCCTGGAAGCACTTAGTTGGTCGACTGATTGGCAAGCAAGGCCGGTACGTGAGTTTTCTGAAACAGACATCTGGTGCCAAGATCTACATTTCCACCCTGCCTTACACCCAGAACATCCAGATCTGCCACATAGAAGGTCAGTGGCAGCACTGCCGTCTTTAATTCCCGTGCATGAAATGTAAGGAAGTAGTCCCGAACGCTCTTCTTTGGAATGTTAGCCTCTTATTAGAAACTGCATCTCTTCCTAGACACAGGGAGGCACTGGTGCTCTGCAGACTCCCCCAGTTCAGAGACTGAAGGAAACTTGTGTCCCCCTGCACCACCCCTCTAGCCAGGAGAGCCATGAGTGCTCATTGGGCAGGGCCAGTGTCCTGGATCTCTGAGCTTTCTGGTTGAGGAAGGAGCTCTGCACTTTTCCCATCTGCCAGCTTCTTTTGTTCAAAGCATGGGTCAGAATGGCAAAGATAACAGTTAACAGAGGACTGTGTTTAAATGACTTTATTCCTAAAGCAAAGCTCTGTTTGGTGCTCTTTGAGGCGTCTGAATTCTAGAAGTTCTGCAGTGCAGTGTTGGTGTGTTTGTGTTTGTAGTCGTACTTCTCTTACCCATGGTGGCTGTGTCTTTTGCCCTTTAGGCTCTCAGCATCATGTAGACAAAGCTCTGAACTTGATTGGGAAGAAGTTTAAGGAACTGAACCTCACCAATATCTACGCACCACCATTGCCTTCATTGGCACTGCCTTCTCTGCCGATGACATCCTGGGTGAGCACACTCGCTGAAATTTGACTCCTCACCCCTTCCCCTAAACTTACTCCACTTGAGAAATCTTAATCTATAGGCCAGAACGCCCATGAGTACGTGACCTCCCACCTCTGGCCTCCATCAGCCCCCTGCCAGTGTGTTCTCTGAAGGAAGGATAAAGTACTGGCATGAAACCAGGCGGGCCTCTTGTTCCCCACATGGGAGGACCACACTCTTCTGCCACCTGGGCATGCTTCCTATTTTCTAGTTATTCGCCTAAAAAGAACTAAGCCAGGAGACTGGGCGTGGGGCTCCCCAAAGCTGAGGCTGTTCCTAGAGTCACCACCTAGCACCTGAGACCTGGTAGGACCTGCCAGGGAAAATTTGGGTGAGATTTGCAATGGATCTTTCTGTTCTTTCTAGTCTGCTGGGCTGAAGAGCAGCCCTGGTGAAGGATTCCCTTCCTCTTCCCTCTCCCCAGGAACTGCCTAGATTGTGGTTGGTAAATACAGAGCCCCACGGTAGAAGCTCTGAAGTTTAGCAGGAGAGAAGCTGTTCTCTCCAGGGCAGTTGGCAAACATGCCTCTGGCCCTAGTCAGGCCTCTTGTCACTGGGAGTACACTGCAGAGTTCTGTGGGCCACAGACTATTTACTGCATTTCACACAGATGGGCTAAGCAAGCTGCTTCAGGAAAATTGGTCCCTTGGGCTTTGTTTAGGATGGTACGCATTTCAGTTCTGTGTCTTCCCCCACCAGAGACCCTTGTGCTATGGGGGAAGGAATGAATGTTTCTTTCACTGTGGGCATTAGGGAGTGGGCTGGGCCCCACTCCATGCTTTACGCCTGAGTTAGAGGTTTTCCCCAGGAGGCCTGGCTGGCTATAGCCTCTCTTAAAATAATGGAGTAGTTTGTATGGGTGGTTTCCTTCCCTTATGTTCTGCTTGGCTTAGCCGGCTGGGGAGGAGACCCCAGGTACTTTAGGGACAGCAGGGCTGGGGTAAACCTATGGAAGTCAAAGGAAGCTCTTGGGGGCTACCAGGCTTAAAGGTGGTTTCAGAGCCCTCCTGTGTGCAGTCCGCCTTGCTGCCTGTAGCTTGGCATTGGGAAAATTAGTGCTGAATACAAGTCTTTTAAAGACCATGGTGATCTCTGCTAGGGCCTTTCACATGGGGTTTGGCAGCTGAGCATGCCTATAGGCAAGAACCCAGAGTGAGAATGGATTAGGGGATGTCTGTGGAGGGTGGAGGAGAGTAGGAGCTAGGGGATGAGGGCAGAGCACAGAAGAGTGGGCAGGACACCAACCCTGGCAGACCTCTGGCTTGAGGCTGCTGCACGTTCTTCAGAGGCAGAGGAATTCTGACAGGCCATAAACTGGCGTCAGCTGCAGGTCCAAAGGGGCTTGAGGGCTGGCTAGCTCTTACTCTCAAGCATGTTGTTCCAAGCAGCAGCTCACTCCCATATTTGCCTTCTCTGGCTCTTACAGACTCATGGAAAGAGGTGGGAGGGAGGGCAGTGCTCTGGGGCATGGAACCTGCACCTCCTGTTTGAGGTCCAACACTGCATTACACAGTTGGCCTCTGGCTGCCCAGTGTCTGCTGGGGATTCTCCTGTCCGATCCTGAGATGAGGCTGCTTCTAATGGCAACTCCTGGTATTGCAGCATAACAGTCGCAGTCAGGGAGGTAGTTCTTGAACCTCTGCCATCTGGGTACCATGTTGTTGTGGATGGCTGTGCCAGTTCAGAGACTTGCCCTCAGGCCATATCCCACCTGAGAAGGACTGATGCAGTGTCGACTTCCTTTTTCTCCTACAGCTCATGCTGCCCGATGGCATCACTGTAGAGGTCATCGTGGTCAACCAGGTCAACGCCGGGCACTTGTTTGTGCAGCAGCACACACATCCCACCTTCCACGCACTGCGCAGCCTGGACCAGCAGATGTATCTCTGTTACTCTCAGCCTGGGATCCCCACCTTGCCCACCCCAGTGGAAAGTAAGTGCTGCCCTAGAGAGTCAGAGTCCTGGGTTATGGCCAGACCAAGAGATGGAGCCTCAAGGTTGCCTATTCTGCCCTTGTTAACTGTTCTGGAATTCTTCATGGGACAGCATCCCTGAGTTTTTGCATTGTTGTGGAATTGTGCTGGGTTGAGTTTCCTTGCTAGCCAAAGCTAGTGTTTCCATTGATCAACAGAGCAGTGGAATTGAGTGGCATTTTTGACTGGTGGAGTCACATCCCAGTCCTGCTTTTTGTCTTCTAAGGAGAGTGATACTAAGTAGTATCTAGGCTTGTCCATCAGGATGCAGGTAGATAGGTTTGGATACACTGTATACATGATGTAAGTACTTCATGCATATGTTGGTCACAGCCCTCCTCAGCCCACCAACCCCGTGCAGTGGGTTAGGTTAGCTCCACATGACAGGTAAGGAAGCTGCCTCTGAAGTGAACTCAGGTAGCACTTGAGCAGGAGCTGGCATCGTACTGGTACTTTAGTTGTTTTATCAATGAGGACTGAATGTCAGCATTTCTCCCAACCCCCTCAAAGACTCCTAAAACCTGTGGTTCCTTCATGGGCTTTGAGGCATGAGGAAAAGCTTTGGAGTGATCTGTGACCTTTTTTTCCCCCTTTTATAAGAACAAGGGTTTAATTTTCATAAGCTCCTCCATGCTGCCTTAGCCATTGCAGTAAAGACCAAACTGGAGGCTAAGAGGTAGCTGCACCATGGCCTCTCTATGGATCAGGACTGACTGTGGTCAGCAGCCACCTGGGGTGCCGCTAGGGGTACTGCTATGACCCTCATCCCACAGGACCACAGCCTTGTTGGCTGCCCATTTTGCATTAACTGAGGCAGAGACTAGATGGTTTGGGATATAGACCTAGGAATGGCCTTCTGGTCAGACCCTAGTCTGAGTTGTGTAGCCTGGAGCAGACCCTAGGTGCCAGGCCACCAGGTTCTGCTCCCCTTGACAGTTCTTGATTTCTTTAGGAACAATTTCTTAAGAATTTAAGGCATCCGGGCTAGGGGATAGCTTAGTCAGTGAAATCCTTCCCTGAGGACCTGGTTTAATTCCTCCATGTAAAAAGAGCTGTGTGTGGAGATATACACTTAGAGTCTTAAGCGCTGGGGAGGTAGAGATAGGCAGATCCCTGCAGCTTGCTGGCCAGCCAGCTTAGCCTACTTGGTGAATAACAGGCCAGCGAGAGACCTTGTCTCAAAAAGAAGGGCAGTGGCTGAGAAATAACCAAAGTCTGCCCTCTGACACACATACACCCCCCCCCCACACACACACATGAACATGCATGCACACATACAAAAGGAAGGCCCTGCTCCCTATTCTCTGAGTTCTGTATTTTACTTGGTTTGTTCTGGTCTATGTGTTTGATTCAGGCCTCAGTAAGTTTCAGAGTAATGGATCCAGACTGAAGGCTCTTGAGGATTGGGAGTTTTGGAGTTGTCATATGTTAAGATAATTTCTTGTCTTGGGCTCTGGGGGAGGTTTTGCTGAGGTTTCATTGTGGTTCCTGTCCCCTGCCCATGGAGGTGCATGCCTCTGAGGAGTAATGTGGGATGGTGGGGGCCCTCCCTGGGTCAGATGCATTCCACACACTCGTCCTCCTGCCTTGCAGTTACGGTCATCTGTGCTGCCCCTGGTGTGGATGGGGCCTGGTGGCGAGCCCAAGTAGTGGCCTCTTATGAGGAGACCAATGAGGTGGAGATTCGTTACGTGGACTACGGTGGATATAAGAGGGTGAAAGTCGACGTGCTCCGGCAAATTAGGTGAGTGGGACTCTTCTGACAGTTGTGTGCCCTGCTTGGCATGGGGTGTGTGGCTCAGTTCGACCCAGCCTCAGATGGGCTTGGTTCTTCGCTGCTGCTGCTTACTGTGTGTTAGCAGAGCTGGGAGTAAACAAACACGATGACCTGCCTTGGTTATGCAGAGCTAGGAGGCCAGATGATGAGAGAAGCCCAAAGTCAGACATAAAGGAAGCAGGCTGATTTCTGAATTTGATGTGGGAAGTCCCTCTGAGTCAGGTTTGGAGCAGGTGCCTGCCTGTGTTCAGGTGCTGGGACCTGTGGCTCCCTTGTCATCCTGAGTTGTAGATGTCACTGTGCTAAGCAGAAGGTAAATCCAGATGCTGGTGGTCCATGTTAAACTCGTCCCTTCCTTGCCTTTCTAGGTCTGACTTTGTGACCCTGCCGTTTCAAGGAGCAGAAGTCCTTCTGGACAGTGTGGTTCCACTGTCAGGTAACAGGTGGGGCCTCCCACTGTAGGCTGGGCATCGGTGGGCATAGATCTTTCTTGGAACCCTCACTCTCACCTGGAGGCTTGTGTAAACACAGTTCTGCTACTGTTTATTTCTGGTTGAGTAGGTCAGGGCTAAGGTCTAGGAACCTGAATTTCTAACAAGTTCCAAGACAATGCCTGTGCTGCTATGGATCCTCATTTGGGGTCGACGGCCTTGAAGTTTACCCAGGCTGCCAGCTTGAGAGGCTCCAGTGAGGCACTTTAGAACATAGTCCAGCAGTGCTGCTTGGCAAGGTCACTGCCCCATAGAGCCTTGTTGGGACCACACTGACACCCTGGGTATCTGAGATTGAAGGCATTGCCAGAGGGAGGAGCACTGGCAATCCTTAGCCTCGATTATCCTCTCTGGCATGTTGGAATGGATCCTGACTGTGAGAATTGCATGCCCCTGGGCACTCGTGTGTAGAAAGTGTTCAGATAACAGCTTCTTATGGCTGTAGCAAATAGTTTATCCCATTGCCCTCTCTTCAAATTGGGCTCCTTCAGATCTTATCCAAAGTAATTTAAATACCTTAGACACACTATATATAGTTTAACTAGGCCTGGTGCTGCACACTTGTAACCTCAGCATACAGGAGGCTGAGGCAGGAGGATTACTGTATGAAGCCTGCCTAAAGAAAAGCATTACAATCTGGCTGAAGTCATGTCATTCATAACAGCAGCAGGGCTGTTGTTCCATTTCCTTCCTTCTGCTGGCCTTCTCCGTTTCTGTGCAGCTAAGCAGTCTGTACAGACCTGCTGAAACCTTCCCTCCCTCATCCAATAAACTCTTGCCTTTCATCCTTCCACTTCCTGCCTCGGGTGTGTTCTCGGACATCACTTAATCCAGCAGAGTAGAAGCTACCTTGCTGTCCCACCTACCATAGAGCAGCTTTCCATACTGAGCCCACTGCCTGGATTGGAATTCCACCGCCACCTTGTGAGAACTAGTTGACCTTTGGTGCTCAGCCTTTGCCTGTAAAGTGGGTCTTCTGGGGTTTGCTGGTTTGGTGGAGGTGCATACACTTGCTCAGTGCATCTGACCCTCAGGAATGGGGTATATTTCTATTGACAGCAGCTTGTAGGGCACATGCAGCTGGAACTCTGAGTTTACCCACTTGAAGTTTTGGCAGGTGACAGTGCTTTGCCTTCTGAGCATCTAAACCTTTTCTTCTCTTCCCCAAGATGATGACCACTTTTCACCTGAGGCAAATGCAGCCATGAGTGAGATGACGGGGAACACAGCACTGCTGGCCCAGGTGTGTGGTGTGGGGGTGAGGCTGACTGGCCAGGGGTGGTCAGGGAGGCTCCTGCCTTACTCATCATAAGTGTCTGGGCTTCTTGGCAACAGATCTTTAAATTTGTTCCTGGGCTGGAGAGATGGCTCAGTGGTTAAGAACATTGGCTGTTCTTGCAGAAGACCCAGGTTCGAATCCCAGCCACCCACATGGCAGCTAACAACTCTGTCTGTAACTCCAGTTCCAGGGGATTTAACAACCTATTCTGTCCTCTGCAGGCATTGCACAACACGGGTACACTTACCTACATGCAGGCAATACACACATACACATGAAAATAATAAATAAAATATTTAAAAACAAATTCCTTCCTATGGGCAGGAGCCTTGGGGTAACCAGCAAGCTTTAAAAAGAGGTGCATAAGCCAGGCCTGGCAAACACTCTGGTGCTCCGGAGGCTGAGGATAGTGACTTTGAATCCTGCCTGCTTACAGTAGAGCCTTTCTCAAAAATAAAAGTGCATAGAGTAGTTTTAAAAGGTTTTCTGTCTCTCACATCCCTTTAGGTGACAAGCTACAGTGCGACTGGCCTTCCTCTGATTCAGCTGTGGAGTGTGGTTGGAGATGAAGTAAGTCTGCCTGCTTCCACCAGAGTGACTGCCAACAGCGGTGGGCTGACTGGGAACTGGTCCTCACAAGTCAGATGACACAGCTGTGAACCATTGCCACCATGGGGACACTCTGGGTGCTGTGGTTAGAGGTGGTAATGTTAGTGTTGTAGTGTTGTCTAGGGGGCGGAGTCTAGCTCGGGAGTGCTGTTAACCCTCCTGTAACTCCCAGGTCAGCTATTCCCTACACTTGAGTATCCTGAGTGCTGAGCTGGGGATCCAGCTCCTGGACCTCTGTCCATTGGCTTCTCCTATCCTAACAGTGTCAGAGCTCAGGTTTCTTTCAGTATGTTAGAAGTCTATCCTAGTCCTAGTGGCAGCAGAGTACTTAAGTAAAGGTCCTATTGTAGTCAAGCCCTGAGCCTGCACCTGTCCACTGGCTGATGATTCGGGGCTTGGGAAGGAGAGCCCATGTTGGCTTGAGAGGTGGCCCCGAGGTGCCATGCAGCACTCTCAAGGAAGCTTTGTTTTCCAGGTGGTGTTGTTAAACCAGTCACTGGTGGAGCGGGGCCTTGCGCAGTGGGTTGACAGCTTCTACGCCAGCCTTTGACCTTGGCCTCCGGAGCTGCTGCTTGAGTCTTTTTTGCACTGTTGAAATTGGGCTTGGCATTCAGGACAGAGATTTTAACAGCAGAGTAACAAACTTTGTGCTCTCAAGTCTTCTTTGTCCCCTTCTGTAGTCCTGTTGAGAAGACGTTTCCTCCCTGAGGAACTGTGGGTTCTTTTCAAAGCCATAGGATGGTATTCTACAAGCCAGCTGGCTTAAACTCATTCTAAAGCAGTTTGAAGGAAGGAAGGTATGTCAACCAGGTTGTCCTGCTCCCCTTTTTTCCCTACCCTCTCCTCACCAAAACCCCAGACTGCAGCGGGCAGGCCAGGGGTGGGGGCTGGCTCGAGAGGGTCTCTTTTATTTCAGCCTTTCTTCAGGAAGCCAGACATGAACTGACTAATTGGTATCGATTCCCTGTACAGCTCACATAAATGAATTGATGGTGTTTAGCCAGTTTTATATACTTCCTCCAGGTCCCTAGGAGCTCAGACCTTTTTTTAAATGCAGATGTAAATATGGAGCAATTGTCACACCTGACCCCAGGGAGTTGGGAACAGGGAGCTGTTACCCTGCCAAGCCTGGTTGTAATTTGTAACCATTTTCTATTGTGCAAACTCTGTAAATATATGTTTAAAAGTGTAAAATTTTGTACAAGACACACTGGAAAACAAAGGGATTCAAGACTTTTCCACACACTTCACCTGTAAGCAGAGCTGGTCCCATGGAACGGGATAGCCTGTCCCAGCGCACCTGCCAGGGGCTCCTGTGGTTTCCCGTGTGCCAGACAGGAGGCGCGTGGGGAGGATTGTCATTTGGAGATTTTTTTTTTTGGCTGTACACATTTATTTAAAACAAAACAAAACAAAAAACTCATTAAATTAATCTTGCAGTGGTGTGTTTGATTCTTTTATAGACTGGCTTTAGCATTGTGCAATTTAAGAGTAAGTAACTCAACTTGAACTTACATAAATCTCGAATTGTATAAACTATAACTTTGAGTCTATTTTTCTTCAGTGGTGGAAAATACTTGGGGTGGGAAGTAAAGAGGTAGTTGCATATGGTGGACTTGAGGACCCAACTCTGGACCTTCAAGGACCACAACAAAGAAGACCCCCTGGTCTTAGAAGACATTTTGGCAGAAATCTCTATCTCCCTTTTCTCTTTTCCTTGCCCCACCAGGTGGCAGCCAAGCCTCTTCTGGTTTCTGCACTCAAATGTGTATGAAGCCTGGCATCAGTTTAAAGTTTCTAAAACCAGTAGTTGTGCAGTCTTTGGCTATGCATGAAGTCATTTAATCTGTGGCTGTCAGACTGGTATGGAAGTGTGTTCATTCTGGACACCGCCACTGCTGCAAGGCTGAGTGTAGTATATGAACAACTTAGCCCTGGGCATAAAACAACTTAAGCAAAATCACATTCAATGGCCACTAGGACCTGGTGCTAATGGCAGCTAAGAATGCAGCAGAGCTTGCTGGGTGTCCAGCTGTGTGTAAGTAGGAGCAGTCATAGATCTGACCACCTTATGAGGTAGGTGACTAAGTGACAAGAGCAGATCCAAGTCCCACCTACACTGCCCTGGTGATAATTATGGTTTTGGCCAAGTTGTGTTATTCCTGGGGCTAAGCTGTTTGAATACTGCCTTGCAGCAGCAAGAGTGTCTATAGAAACTAACACTCTGGGCAGAGCTTGTAAGACCAGAGTGAGCTGGCCTTTATGGGCCATAGGGGGGTGGGGGTGGGTGCAGGGGTTAAGCAGAGAACACAAGGTTCAGGTTTGGGGAGAGGATACAGAAGGTGGGGGATAGAGACACAGACCAGGGGGAAGTTCTGATGTCACCAGAGTGCTTCCTCTGGGATGTACAAGGTGTGAAGACAGGATCCTCAGGCCAAATCTACAAGGCCTGGGGAGAAGATGGGTGTTTGGTCTTGCAGGTCTTAAGGACTGTTTAGCCTTGGAGGATGGCTCCCTGGAACATGGCTTTGAATTGGGAAGGAAAAGCAGGTTGGAGGACCAGTCATGAAGACACATACTTTTGAAACAGTCGCTCTTAGAGAGGAGCAGAGTTCTGGAAGTCTTCTGGAGAAGTGCATTTGAAATGCCTGTATCACATCCAGGGAGCATCAGCATGAATCAGAAACTTGTGGAAGAAGCTGGTGCTGTGAAGAGATTGGACTATCTATTGGGGATGAGGGGCAGATGGGATGGGTTTTTTCTACTTGTTCACTGCAGTTGTTTGTGTCCTCGGTTCCCTCAAAGACCAGGAGGAATGGCCGGTCTTAGTGGAGCCTGGGTTCTGGGGTTAGTGCTGCAGTGAGTACAGCCTGGGTTAAACCAGGATCAATGTATGTCAACTGAGAACTGAAGTCACTTGTAGCCATCACAGGCTTAAGGTAAAACAAGATTAGGCACTGCAGGTCCAAAATGCTTACTGTGTTGTAGATAATGAGTTTGCCACAACCTAGTGAGGCAGGAAGGTCTTCATAGCTGGGCTACTTAGAAAGTGGGCAGAGTCCAGTCTCAAAGCCAAGCCACTCCAGGCAGAGTGCTCTTTCTTTTTTTTTTCATTTCATTTATTATTTTTATGTGTATGAGTGTATTGCCTGCATGTTTATAGTGCACCCATGTAATGCAGTGCTCTGGAACTGGAGTTATGGATGGTTGTGAGCAGCCAGTGCTCTTAACCCCTAAGCCATCTCTAGCCTCTAGGCCGAGTGCTTATAACCATTGCTCCTCTAAGCAGCATGGAGTCATCTTGCCTTGATCCGTGGTACCTACATGGTGAGCCTAGAGAAAGGTTTTGGAACTCAGTATGGGGTGGAGGTGGAGACAAAACAGGAGCAATCAATGGCTTTGCTTCTGTGAAAGATTAAAGTCTAAGAAACATGGGACTAGAGAGATGGCTTAGTGGTTAAGGGCACTTGATGCTCTTCTATAGAGGTCTTGGGTTGGGCTCGCAGCACCCACATGGCTACCTGTGCAACTTAAAATTTTCTAAGAGCCATAAAGTCCAATAGGAATCTCAGGATTATTCATTTAAATGTCATTTTGGTATGAAATAGACAAAAAACTGAGGGGGTTTGAGGCAGAATTTTGTATACAGAGGCTTTGAGATCTGTTGTTCACTTTGCCCTTCTGGTGTTTCTGTTCAGACTGTCCACAGTTTGGGGCTCCATAGCTGTACATGGCTTTTGGCTGCCACCTTGGACAGCCCCTGATAGTATCGTCCCTCATCTGTATCACACCAATACTAGCAGCTAACATAATGTTCCTTACTCTAAAAACCCTAGACTGATTGGGCATGGTGGCACACTTGGAAGACAGAGGCAGGATTATGACTTGATGTCAGCCTCGGCTGTGTGGTGACACTAGTAAGAAAAAAGAAAAGATTGTGGGCTGGCGAGATGGCTCAGTGGGTAAAGGGACTGCCTGTGCCAGCCTGATGACCTGAGTCCAGGATCACAGTGGAAGTAAAGAACCAGTTCCCAGAAGTTGTCCTCTGACCTGCACACATGTGTGAACACACACTAATATAAATTTTTTTAAAGGATTGAGAGAAGTATTTGTGAAAAGAAGTGTGTGTTGGAGGTTTTTTTGAAAATTATATATATATATATTATATATATATATTGTCTTTTTGAGACAGGGTCTCCCTGTAGCCCCAGCTGTCCTGGAACTTACTATATAGACCAGGCTGGCCTTGAACTCACAGAGATCCACCTGCCTCTGCCTTCTGAGTGCTGGGATTAAAGGCATGCACCACCACATAAATTTATTTTTATATGTGTATTTGTGTATTGCCTGCGTGTAGGTGAGTGCACCCGTGTCATGCAATGCCCTCGGAGGACAGAAGAGGCTGTCGGATCCCCTGGAACTGGAGAGTTGTTAGCTGCCATGTGGGTGCTGGGATTCAAACCTGGGTCTTCTGCAAGAACAACCAGTGTTCTTAACTGCTGAGCCATCTCTCCAGCCTATGAGACAGGGTCTTGTTACGCAGACCAAGCCAGCCTCAAACATGTAATCCTGCCTCTACTTCCCAATAGCTGGGATTATAGGCAGGTGCCAACAGTCTTGACTTCATGATTTTTTTTTTAATTAAAAATTTTTTTATTTTGTGTACGAGTGTTATGCCTGCATGTATATAAGTGTACCTGTGTTGTGCAATGCCCATAGAGGACAGAAGAGGGCATTGAATCCCTTGGTAAATCCCCTGGAGTTACAAGGGTTGTTAGCCAGTGCTAAGAACACCCGGTGCTCCTAACTGCCAAGTCAGCTAGCTCTCCAGCCCCAGGCTTCAGGATTCTTGATTGTGACATCAAACCAGTAAGCATTATAAATATTTAGTCCTGTTTAACCATCTTCACTGCTCACCTGTGTCTTCCAGAGCTGCCCCAAGTTCTTTGTTCTGAATCAGTTTTGTTGTCAGAACACAGCACTGCATGTGCTTGTCTCTGTCCTGTAGGCTAGCTGTCGTTTGACTGGGCTTCTCTGGCTGACACTATCTGCTTACCAAAAATCCTGTCCTTCTCTCCACGGCAAGAATGTAACTGTTATCCCTGTTCGACTTAATCTGGCCAGTTATGGGGTAGGGGTGGTACAGGTCACCAGGGCTGGGATTTCAAGAGCAGTCTGTTTCATTTCCTGCTCTGTCATCCATCTGTCCCCATGTGAAGATGACTCAGAACAGTTGCAGCTAACCCTCATGGAGGTATATGAGAAGCAATACTGCCCTAAGTCACCAAGATGGGGCTGTGTGTCATCTGGAATCTGATCTAGCTCAGCTTGCTTGCTGGTATTGATCAAGGCCCCAGACCTTTCTCTGAGGAGAGAACTCTGAGCACAGTCCCCCTTGTGCTCCATGTTCTGCTTGGGGTAAGTTCCCTGTGAAAAGTGAAGGTGATGGGCTGGATAGATGGTTCAGTGGATAAAGCCCGCGAATGTGAAGAGCTGAGTTCGGGTCCCCAGAACCCACAGGAAATGATGTGGTAGTGAACATCTGTAACCCCAGTGTGCCAAGCCTGAGATGGGAGAAGATGGGAGAATCCCGAGTGAACAGCAGTGAACAACACACGTCTGAAAATGAAAGGGGAGGACCCTCTGACCTCCAGGCATGCACTGTGATATGCGGGCCTACACTCATGAACGCACATTTTTTTAAAAAGTGGAGGTGAGTGTTGGTGGGCTTGCCAGGTTTGGCTTGGATCTAATCTTTTCTGCAAAAAGGGCCCAACTGAAGATTTCTCTTAATGAGGTTGACTTGTATTTTTACAAAGCAAATGATCTAAGGGAGATCTTGGCTGTTTCTTGATAGCAATGGCCCAGCTGACATCTGGTGGAGACAGAAGGCATTTGAGAAGCCCTGGTGCTTTGGGCAAGAAAGCCCGGCATGTCCTACCTGAGCTAGGCTGGAGTTCTTGTCTTTCCCTGGTCTCCCTGGCTTGGTGACAGGAAGGAGCTCCGACTGTTCTGTAGATTTCGGTCTCTCCCCACTGAGTGCCTGCTGTATGTATGCCAAGCCTGCTAGGGTCTACAAAGCTGAGACAAACAGCCTTCAGGAAGCATCTCTGAGGAAGTGGGCCAATGGTTCTAACACAGATGGTGCTGGCCTGGGTGGAGGCCTTTCCTGTGGGGTCCTGTCAGCCTCTGGTGAGATATGGACTAGGCTTAGAGTCAGCTAAGCCTGGTCTTGAACTTTGTTTTCTGAACGCTGTTCCTGGCACACAAGTTTTTTGTTCTTTATGGGTGCGTGGGTGCCCAAATTCCCTTGTAAGTAAGCCTACAAGCTTGAACCACTGCACCTGGGTCTTCATCTTTGTTTTAATGACTCAGAATTGTTTACATGCTCATCAAAGTTTCAACACTGCTCAAAGACTGTAGTGGTCAACT